TTTTGTAGAGGGTTCAGCCCCTTTTAAGTATCTTGGTGTCCCTCTTAATTCAAGATACTTGAAAGTTACTGACTTTGATGCTCTGATTGACAAGATGTTGCATAGATTGATGGGATAATCCAGTAGGAATCTTTCATATACAACAAGAGTTGTTCTCATCAATTCAATTTTAATTAGCTTACATTCTTATTGGGCTCAATGTGTCTTATTTCCCAAGTCTGTGATTTAGAGAATCAATCAGCTATGCAGGGCATTCTTATGGGGTGGATCTGCTATTCTTTCTAAAGCTCCCCCTTTGGCTTGGTCTTGGGTTTGTATATCCAAGAAGGTTGGTGGTCTGGGTATGAGAGATTGTGAAAGTTGGAATAAGGCTGCCCTGGGAAAAAATGTGTGGCAAATAGCTAAGAAAAAGGACTCTCTTTGGGTTAAATGGGTTCATAATGTGTATGTTAAATCTACTGGCTGGTGGTCTTATACTCCAAAAAAAGCTGATGGTTAGGCTTGGAAGAAAATCTGTAAAATCAAGGATGAGCTTAGGGAGGGTTTCTTGACTGAAAAATGGGATGAGAAGAATTACTCTATTGCTGCTGTGTATTCCTGGCTTCAGAATGATGCTGAGAAGGTGGGTTGGACAGATTGGGTTTGGAATAGGTATAATATTCCTAAAACAAGTTTAATAGCTTGGTTAGCAATATTAAATAAGCTGAGAACCAGAGACAAGTTGTTCAAGCATGGAATATGTGATACTGACAAATGCCTGCTATGTGATACTGTCACTGAATGTCAACAGCACCTGTTCTTTGCCTGTCCATATAGCAGACAATGTATGCTGATTATTAGTAGCTGGCTTGGAATTCAGGAGATTCACTTTAATATTGCAAACACTTGGAAGCACTTGAAGAGAAAATTTAAAGACCCTATTCTAAGGAAAATTGGGTATGCTACTCTTACAGCCTTGGTGTATTATTTGTGGTCTGCTAGGAACATGGCTTACTGGAATCATGCTTTTCTGTTTCTTGAGAAGCTTTGTCACAGGCTATGTTCAATGGTGGTTGATCATGTTCAGCAGATTATAGGTGGAAAATGGAAAAGACATCACTGTCAATGGCTAAGGACCTTAAGAAACAGTATACCAGCCTGAGTTGGTAATTTTCGTATTCTTTGTTTGTTCTGTTCTGTTTTACTTAGGGTTGGGTTAGTTACTCTTTTGTTCTGATCCTTGTGATAAATACCCTTCCTAAAAGGTGCTTTATCACTTAAGGCTAGTATAGATTAGTGTGGGGGTTATGTGGCCTAAGGGCTTGTGTACTTAGGAGTTTACAAGCTTTTTCTTGTATTTGTTTTGAGGGCTTGCCCTCTTTCTTTGGTTAATAATACTTCTTATTTACCAAAAATAAAAATAAAAAAAAAATAAAAAAATATAGGATTCAAATGAAAGTAAAACACAATCAAACAAAGCTTTTGAATCAAATGATAGTCAAACACTTTCTAACAAAGCTATTTAAATCAAATGCATTCAATTAAGCTAATTGAATCAAATGAATGTCAAACATATTGGAACAAAGCTAATTGAATCAAATAAAAGTCAAACACATTCAAACAAAGCTTTTTACAGTAAAATTAAAGTCAAATGCTTTCAACAACGGTAATAGAATCAAATGAAAGTAAAACACATTCAAATAAAGCTATTTGAATAAAATGAAATTTAAATGCATTCTACATAGCTAATTGAATCAAATGAAAGTGAAACACAATTAAACAAAGCCAATTGAATCAAATGAAATTCAAACTCAATCAAACAAAGCTTTTTGAATCAAATGAAAGTCAAACGCATTCAACAAAGCTAATTGAATCAAATGAAAGTCAAAGACATTCAAACAATGCTAATTGAATCAAATGAAAGTCAAATGTATTCAACAATGATTATAGAATCTATAGAATGACAAACACACTCAAAGCAAGCTATTTGAATCAAATTAAACTAAAATACATTCTAAAAAGCTAATCGAAACAAATGAAAGTCAAAACACATTCAAATATAGCTTTTTTAATAAAATGACAGTCAAACACATTCTAACAAAGCTATTTGAATCAAATGAAAGTCAAATGCATTCTACAAAGCTAATTTAATCAAATGAAAGTCAAATACATTTGAATAAAGCTTTTTGAATCAAATTAAAGTCAAATGCTTTCCAAAATGCTAAGAGAATCAAAAGAAAGTAAAACACATTCAAATAAAGCTAATTGAATTAAATGAAAGTTAAAAATACTCAAACAAAGCTTTTTAAATCAAATGAAATTCAAATGCATACTACAAAGCTAATTGAAATAAATAAAAGTAAAACACTTTTAAACAAAGCTATTTGAATCAAATGAAAGTCAAATGCATTCTAAAAAGCTAATTGAATCAAATAAAAGTCAAACACATTCAAATAAAGCTAATTGAATCAAATGAAAGTAAAAAATATTCAAACAAAGCTTATTGAATTAAGTGAAAGTCAAATGCAATCCACAATGATAATAGAATCAAATGAAAGTCAAACACATTTAAATAAAGCTAATTAAATCAAATGAAAGTCGAACACATTCAAACAAAGCTATTACAATCAAATGAAAGTCAAATGGATTCAACAAAGCTAACTACATCAATGAAAGTTAAACGCATTCAAATAAAGCTAATTGAATCAAACGAAAGTCAAACACATTCAAACAAAAATATATTGAATCAAATGAAAGTCAAATGCATTCAACAATGATAATAGAATCAAATGAAAGTCAAACACATGCAAACAAAGCTACTTGAATTAAATGAAAATATAATGCATTTTACAAAGCTAATTGAATCAAATGAAAGTCAAACACATTCAAACAAAGCTATTTGAATCAAATGAAAGTCAAATGCATTCTACAAAGCTATAAATGAAAGTCAAACTCATTTTAACAAAGATTTTTGAATCAAATGATAGTCAAACACATTCAAATAAACCTATTTGAATCAAATAAAAGTCAAATGCATTCAATTAAGCTAATTGAATCAAATGAAAGTGAGAGAAAATCCTAGAGAGAGAAAATCCTTCTTTTCGCCATTCTTGTTCCCTTGAAATCTCTGATTGGGCTATGACCAAGGGGAAGAAGAATTGAGGAAAGAAGGGGTCATCATCTAAATCAAAGAAGAATCATGGCCCTAAACCTAGAATCCGATTGAATGTCGAAAATGCTCAAAACCGTGAAGATGGAGCTGGGTCTAAGGTCAGCTGACTTGATGATGAGGGTATCCAAGATGATCCTTTGAAGAGAGTCTCTCTGGAAGATAAGGACATGCATGCAGCTCAATTCAATTTGTGGCTTCAGGTAATCTACCATAACTCCCCTGCTGCTTGCGATACTTTCAATGAAACAGTAAATCATCGGTGTTTGAATATTCAGTCGGGCTCGATAAACCCGACTCCTTTGATGATGATTAGGGATGATAAATCTGTTTCAAGTGGGTCTGTTATTGGTATGAATCTGGGATTAAGTCCTAGCCCTCGTAATACCCCCTCCCCCAAATAAGGAGACCCCTGTTTCTAGGGCTTCTGGAATTGTTGGGAGTGGGGGTTCTAGGAGATAGAGTGCGTTGTTCAGGAACACCGGGGATGAGGGGTTGGACTTGTCAAGGGAAGATAATATTAACCAACCTGAAGATGTTAGTGGTACGGGTATTGGTGAGAAATTGAAACGTACTGCTGAGGATGTGATTATGAAACGATGGGAGCCTAGTATAAATTTGTAGAAGGACGGAGTTTCAGAAGTTACTGTATGGGTAAGACTACCTGGACTACACCTTAAATTCTAGGGTCAGAATGCTTTGATGAAAATAGGGAAGCTGATAGGGAAGCCTGTGAAGACAGATAAAATCACGGCTAACAAAGAGAAGCTTGAATATGCTCGATTGATGGTTGAAGTTTCTACTGATGGAGAATTCCCGGGGGAGATTGAATTTTGGGATGAAGAAGGACTAAATGTTTTTCAGAAAGTTGTATATGAATGGAAGCCTATCAGTTGTAAGAAGTGTTCGGGTGTGGGACATAATGAGGAGCAGTGCCCAAATCAATGGGCTAAGTAGAGGAATAACAGGAGGAGAGGACCTCATGTTAGAGAGACAGTGAAGAAGGTTTGCAGGCCTGTGCAATCAAAGGTACAGGAACCTAACCAAAATGTCAATTTGCAGCAAGTTAGACAAGATGAAGTAATAGTGGTTGTGGAGACAGAAAACAGATTTGACTGTCTAGAAGATAATTTTGAAGCTGGACACAATCCTGGTACACGTAGAGACCAAATACATGGGGTTTCTAGAAATGTGAGATTATGTAGTATTGATGAAGGTAGGGTATTGTATGGAGGCATGGAGGAGGGAGAGTGCTCTTATTCTCTACATGGATAGTATAGGGTTCTAGAATGTTATTAGCCTAAATTTGCCTAATAAAAGGTTTGATGTTTCTTGGTTCCTGAGTCATCACAACTTGGGCTTATTTGGGCTCATGGAGACTAAGGTGAAGGAACAAAGATTTGGTGCTGTTTTTAGTAGCTTTGGTGAGTCTTGGTCTGTAGTTGCAAATTATGCCAAAAATGATAAAGGTAGAATTTTGGTCATGTAGTTGCCTGTCATCTATCAGGTGACTGTGCTAAGGGTGGAGGAGCAACTTATTCATCTGGTTGTTAAACATAGAGCCTCTGGTAGTTTGTTTCTTGTCACAATGGTGTATGGCTTGAATGATCCTAAGAGGAGAGTTGAGCTTTAGGATCAGTTGTCTGATTTAGCTACGGGTTCTAAGGATCCTTGATTTATTGGTGGAGATTTTAATAATATCCTCAATTTGGAGGATAGGATTGGGTCCCCATGTAGTTTTGATGAGGTAAAGGATTCTAGGGAGTACCTGGGCAAAAATGAGTTGTTTGAATTCAAGGTTGGTTGTTTGTTTTACACTTAGAACAATAAACAAGGACAAAATAGAGTATGTATGAAAATTGATAGAGTGTTGGTGAATAGTGAATGGTTGAATAGTTTTGACAAATCTGTTGTAGTCTTTCTTCTTCATGAGGGGACTATGGATCATAGTCCTTGTTGCATGAATATTTTTGGTTTGAATGAAAGGGCTGTTAAACCTTTCAAATTTTTTAACCATTGGACTTCTGCTCCTGGGTTTCTGATGCTTGTTCAACAGGAGTGGGACTTTGAGGTTCGAGGTACAGCTATGTTCAGGGTGGTTAAGATGTTACAAGCTGTCAAAAAAGCCATTAAAGATAAAAATCTGGGCTCTCTGTCCACTATTGAAGCTGCTGATGTTGAAGCTTATGTGAACTTGATGAATGTGCAGAAAAAGATGAATTTAGACCCTTGCAATGGGGACCTGATTAGTGAAGAGAATCATGCTAGAATTGTGTTTCAGAAGGCCCATTTTGCAAAATATTCTTTTCTGAAACAAAAAGCAAAATTGCACTGGCTTAAGGAGGGGGATTTGAACACTTGTTTCTTTCATGCCTATATTCAAAAGAGAAAGGTTCAGAACAGGATCTGCAGTGTGATTCAAGATGGTCAGGTGATTCAGAAGCCTAGTGAGGTGATTAATGCTTTTGTTGGCTACTATCAGAATATGCTGGGTTCAAATTGCAATCCTGAGAGATTTTTTCATGATGCTATTATTGCGGTTGGGAGGACTCTTTCTCAAGAGCAAAGAGTTGAGATGTGTCTTCCTTTTACTGAGGCTGATGTGAAAGATGATCTTTGGAGCATTGAGGATGATAAAGCTCCTGGACCAGATGGGTTCTCTAGTAAGTTTTATAAAGCTTCATGGGACATTGTGAAAAATGATTTATATGAAGTTGTGTTATCCTTTTTTTTATCATGGATGTCTCCTTAAGCAAGTGAATAGCACTTTGTTTACTATGGTGCCTAAAGTTGATGATGCCATCTATGTCTCCCAGTATAGACCTGTTGCTTGTTGCAATGTCTTGTATAAGCTTATCTCAAAGTTGTTCTACTCTAGGTTTAAGGTTGTCTTACCAGATTTGATTAGCGATAATTAGGGAGCTTTTGTGGAGAGAAGGTCTATCCTAGATAATATTCTTGTTTGTCAGGACATGTTAAAGAATTACAATAACAAAAGGAAGGCTCCTAGGTGTACTATTAAGGTTGACCTGAGGAAGGCTTATGACTCTGTTCACTAGTCTTATATTAGAGATATGCTGGTGGCTCTCAACTTCCCTGAGAAATTTGTAGGCTGGGTGATGGAATGTGTCTCTACGCCTTCCTACTCTCTTATGATTAATGGTGGGCTTCATGGTTTCTTTAAGGGTAAGAGAGGCATTAGACAGGGAGATCCCATCTCTCCTCTGATTTTTGTATTGGTCATGGAATATCTGTCTAGGATCCTTCAAAAAGTGGGAGGACTTAGAAGCTTCAAATTTCATCAAGGCTGTAAGCAGTTAGGGTTGACCCATCTTGTGTTTGCTGATAATCTCATGTTGTTTAGCCATGGGGATAGGAAGTCTTTCTCTCTGCTAATTAGAGCCTTAAAAACTTTTGAAAAGATCTCTGGATTAGTGGCTAACACTGATAAAACCGCTGTGTATTTTGATAGTATGGGGAGGGAGTTGCAGGAGGAAATTCTGTGTAACTCTGGTTTTGTTGCAGGTTCTTTTCCCTTCAAGTATCTTGGCATTCCCCTTAATGCTAAGTATATGAGAATTGTTGACTTTGATAGTATCATTGGTAAGATGCTAGCCAGGATCACTTGCTTATCTAGTGGGAACCTCTCCTATAGTGCCAGGGCTACCCTAATCAATTCTGTGCTTATCAGTTTGCACACTTATTGGGCTCAATGTATTTTATTGCCTAAGGGGGTTGTTCACAGAATCACTCAACTGTGTAGGGCCTTTCTTTGGGATGGATCTTCTATTCTTGGGGGGGTTCCTCCTGTTGCTTGGGATTGGGTTTGTAAGCCCAAAAAATTTGGTGGCCTGAGTGTGAGGGACTGTAGTAACTGGAACAAAGTTGGCCTGGGTAAGTATGTGTGGAAAATTGCTAAGAAAGAAGACTCTCTTTGGGTGAAATGGATCCGTAGCATTTATTTGAAAATTCAGAATTAGTGGGCCTATACTCCCAAGAGGTGTGATGGCTGGGCTTGGAGGAGGTTATGTGCTGTGAAAAGTGAGATTCAACAAGGTTTTGAGGTTGGGAATTGGCTGAGTAAACAGTATAGTATCAGTGACTGTTATACTTGGTTATAGGGAGTGCAGTCAAAGATAATCTGGAGTAAATGGGTGTGGAACAGATTTAATGTTCCTAAACATTCCTTTATCTCCTAGCTTGCTGCTCAAAGGAGGCTTCAGACAAGAGATAGGTTAGTTTCTTTTGGGTGTAATCATGATACTAACTGCCTTCTGTGTGGTGATGATACTGAGTCTCATGAGCACCTTTTTTCAACTGTCCTTATAGTAGACAATGCGTCAAGATAGTTGTTGCTTGGTTAGGTATAAATGAAAGGAATTTTATCTTAGATGGCTCTTGGAAGCACTAGAATAGGCAAGGGTCTGATCTGATCCAAAACAGAATTATCTTAGCTGTTTTTTCTGTCTGTGTTTATCACATATGGTTTGACAGGAACCATGCTTATTGGGATAAAGTTGTGATTATCCCCCTGAAATTATGTAAGGCAATTTGTGTGGAGGTGATTTGTAGAGTACAACAATTGATTAATGGATCTTGGTCTAGAAATCAATGTAAATGGTTGCATCTCTTAAAATTCAGTGTGCCTTGCTGAATTCTGGTTTTGGTTTGTGTTCTGGAGTTTGTTCAACTTTGTTTCATGCCTTGAGTTTGTTTTTTCTATCTGCTTGGCTGAGCTGTTGTTTCTCTAACTCTTGTTCTGTCTATTTTCTGCAGCTGCAAGCTGTGTTCTGTTGTGATGCTGAGTTAGTCAGTGGTCTCGGGTTTTTTGACTGTTTCTGTGCCTACTCAAAGCTTCTGTTTTTCTGTCCCTGCTGGTTTGTTGTGGTCTATTTTTCTGCTGACCTGTTGTGTAGTTGTTCTGCGTTCCTGAGCTTGGTTATGATATGGTGCAACTGTGATTGTATCTTTGCTCTGGTGCAGTTTGTGATTCTGTGACCGTGGGACTGTTTTGCTGAGGTTCAGATTGCTATGATGTTGTTTGCGTTTAGTCTGGTCAGTTTTTCAGTTGCGGTTTTGCTGGATTGCTATGCTCTGATGCTGTGTTGCTGAGTGCTAGATTATATGGGCTGATCCTTGAAGCTTTCTGCTCAGCTAGTGTTGTTTATCTTCTTAGGGGCCTGCTGGTGCCTGCTCTGCACTGGTTAGGCTACTATTTTGGGTGTTGTGCAGTAGTGGTGTGGATTGGTGTTGTTGTTTTGGTGGGCTGCTGGGTTGTTTTATGTTTCTAGTTTGTGTTATGTTTTGCTAGCTGTGTAAAGGTGCTATTTTGGCCTCCCGTGTTTTTGGGCTTGCTGTTTTTTGTTTTGTTTCCCGAATTTTTGGCTTTGTGTTAGGTTTTTATCCCGGTCCCTGTTTAAAGTACCCTTCCTAGAAGGTGCCTTTCTACTCGAGACCGGGTTTGGTTTTTTCCCCTCTCTGTCTTAGGCACCCTTCCTAGAAGGTGGTCTCTTTCAGTTTGGGGTAGATTTGGGGGTGTGGTTGCCTTCGGGCTGGTGTAGTTTTGGAGTTACAACTCGGTTTTATTGTAAGTTGTATCTTGTTCTTCCTTTGGAAATAAAAATTTTCTAATTTACCAAAAAAAAAAGAAAAGAATCAAATGAAAGTCAAAATCAAGAAAACTTCTGAACCCGCCATTTTTTTCATCAAAACTTTGAGTTTTTGGTTATGGCCAAGGGAAAGAAAGGCAAGGGGAAGAAAGGATCATCCTCAAAGACGAAAAAGAAGAGCAAGGTAAAGGAAGGGAAGAAGAATTTCTCGAAGAAGAAGGAAGATAGTTTGAAACCCGATGATGCGTCAATTGTAAGCTGGCTGGATGATGTTTCTGTGGAAGGAATCCCAGTCAATGAGGTTAGAGAAGGAGAAACAGCTGCATAAGGAGCAATTTCAACAATGGATTGAGGTAATTCATCTCAATTCTCCCTCCCCTTTAGGTTCTGTTCAATCTGGGTTTGGATTGCATGATTTTGAGAAGGGATGTTTGGATGGAAAATCAGATAACATTGATGATTGTATTAACCCTACTCCATTATTGATGATTCGTAATACTCCTAATTCTTGCAATGATGTTATCAATTCCCCCAAAACCCCGATAATTGTTTGCCTTGTTTTTTATGGTTTGGTACCTAGGTCTAAATTGGGTACTTCTTGGAGAGATAAGTTCAAGAATGTCTTGGATGAGGGTTCTTTCTTTCAGAACTCATCTGAATCTTTATAGAATCAAAGTAGTGTTAGGGGTAATCAGAAGTTGTTGCAATTGAATAGGGAGGATGTTGCTTCGGAAATTGATTACTGGAATTCTGCTGTAATCTGCTTTGTACTTTGCACAAAGCCCTCTTTGTATGTCTTCAATAGTTATATTAGGCATATGTGGGGAAAATTTGGCATAGATAAAGTGTCACTGAGCAGTAATGGAGTTTTCTTAGCTAGATTTAAGGATATTGCTGGAAGAGATAAGGCTACAGTTGTTGGGCCTATTTTCTTTTATAAGAAGCCAGTTGTGGTCAAACAATGGAGGGTGGGTCTAAACCCAAAAGATGAAATGGGGGATTTGGTGCCTGTCTGGGTTCAATTGTATGGTCTTGATTTGAGATTTTGGGGACAGAAAACATTGATGAAGCTTGGTAGCTTAATTGGGAAACCAATTAAGATGGACAAAGCTACTACTATGAAAGATATGGTGGCCTATGCAAGGTTGCTGGTTGAAGTGAAGATTAATAGTGACTTGGTGGAGCAGGATTGAATTCCTGGATGAATTTGGGCAGCATGTGAAGCCGGATGTTGAATTTGAATGGAAACATGTCTCTTGTCCCATATGTAAGGGAATGGGTCATGATAGCAACCAATGTCCAAATCCAAGAGTGATGAAAGCCAAGCAATAACAGCTGAAACCTCAAAAAATTTGGAGACTTGTTTAGAAGCCTACCTAGAAGCCTAATCAGAAGCCTTTACAGAAGACTCTGGTTCCTAATTATGGCCCTCACAGTAAGAGGGCTACTGTGGGGGGTCGATTTGCTAGATTAGTTGATCAAAGGGAGGAAAGTGAGGTGTTGGAGGAAGGAAGTGATTGTTTGGTACGGGGAAGAAACCATTTAGCTTTTAAAGATATGATGGTGTATGGTAGTGTGGACGGGGTTGTTTATTCATCACCTCCTTATGGATAGATGGGGTTTTTGGAATACTAGAGGTCTTAACAGCTCAAGTCGAATTTTTGATGTCTTGCTCTTTATTAGGCATCAGAATATTGGGTTGTTTTGTGTTTAGAAACAAAAGTGAAGGCTGCTAATTTTGGCAAAGTCTTCTCTAATTTTGGTGGTGATTGGACAATGTGTGCTAATTACTCAAGATGTATTAATGGTATAATTTGTTTAGTTTGGAGGCCTAGTATTTTCTGTGTGAATATAGTTCGAATTGAAGCTCAGTGAATCCATACTCAGGTCCAGCATAAAGCTTCTAAAGTTAGTTTTTGGTGTACTATGGTGTATGGTTTTAGTGAATCTGGTAGAAGGGAGGAGCTGTGGCAACAACTTAGTGAGATTAGTGGTGCTATTGATGGTCCCTGGATTGTTTGTGGGGACTTTAATAATGTGTTGAACATTAGTGATAGACTGGGATCCTCTATTACTCTGTCAGAGGTTAATAAGTTCAGGCTCTGTGTCAGAAACTGCTGTTTAACTGAATTTAAAACAGGTG